TCAGAAGTCAATAGAAGATGGATTAGGGCAGAATCGTGGGCAATTTAGACTCACTAAAAAGCTTGATTTTTGCCAAAGAATTAGAAGACTGGATAGCAGACAAAAATAGGTTAGAAAGGGGTAGTTTTCATTTTAACTGTTTTAAATAATAGTAACACTTACATTCATTGCAATTATACATTAATAAACTAACAAAATTTAAACACATGATATCTATTATTTGATGAGACATTTCTATAATGCCCTTAATTACCATGACTATGATGTCTATCCGCAATCTAATATGAAATACACTCTTACAAATGAGAGCTACATTACATTACAGCTGGGAAAATGGACCTTTCAGAAGATTAGGTAGGTTTTGTGAACAAACGAGAAAGGATCAGAATTTGCTCTGGTTTCTTTGAACCCATATGTCGTAGTGAAGGTTGGTGTTGCCTCAAAAATTACTGCAAAATTTCTAAGTGCCATTGTGTTTTCACACACTTATTCATCCAACACCAGGGCACAGTGAAGGAGGAAGCTACTGTTATCCTACTGATAACAGGCAGTAGTGAAATTGTCTAGATAAATAGTACCAGTTTGCATTGAAGATTGTGGGTTCCACAAGGGAGAGGAGCATCCCTGGACGCTGCCTTCTAAGCCCCATTGTTCGGACGCTGAGGTCTAGAGCTGCAGCTTAGCCACAAGTTAGATGGTGCTTGTGACCTCTGAATTAAGAGTCAGCTCACTTATTGATCAGTTTCCTGGTACTGAGCTGCCACTACGCAGTTTAGCTTATTTTTTCCTGTTTACAGCAGATCTATCTGGCAGTCACGGTTGTTGTTCTTGTTTTACATGCTAGACATGGAGGCTTCAGGGCATTGAGCAGTGGGCCTCAGGTCTGCTGAAAGCTGCTGAGTGTGAAGGCAGGACTTGAATCCATGTGAACAATGTCAGCAGTTGGAAGTCCCCGTGGAAGGACAGTGTTGGGCTTGACCTCTGTCTCATCGCGGCTGACTGCGTTCATTTCTGACAAATGTAAAGCATGAAAGAAAAACTGATAATCTGCTCTGCATTTTGATTTGCAGTTTTATGAGTAATATTTGCAGTATACAATGTTTACATTCACCAGAGTCAGTACATGCACGTAACACACCTTAATTACTTTTATGCCCTTGGCCCTGTGTAGTCATCACTCCCCTTCTCTCTGTTTTTTGTTTCAATTGCTTTCTTATGTCTTTTGATACAGGGTCTCACTAAGCAGTTCAGATTCATAGTGAGATCCTCCTGTCTCAGCCTCCTCGCTGCTCAGATTATAGGCTTGTGCCACCACGCCAGCTTCCAGGGATGGCATGGCACCTGGGGCTCTGGGCGGCACAGCATGTGGTATCGGGGATCAAAGTCATGACCTTGTGCTTGCCGGGCAGGCACTGAGATCACTGAGCTGTCTCCCCAGCCACTTCCTTTCCCTTTGCAAATGGTCAATCTTGCCATTTTATATTATCAAAAATACGTTTTTTCTATATATTTTTGTGGCTCATCTATGGATTGAGTCTATTTTTCGCTAAATTCTGTTGTTGTTGTTTAGTTGTTTTTGTGCCAGTCCATATAAGATGTGAGATAGTGATTTCTAGCTATGGCAAGAAGTGCAGGATAATAAGCAGCACACACAGACATAAATGCGATCTTCAGCACACACTGCTGTGAGAATCCAGTGCACACATTTTGTGATTGTTAGGGTGGTTCATCTATTCTTAGCACTCTGGAGGAGAAGAAGCAGTCATTGAGCCTCTGCCTTTCCTGCCCACCCCCTTCTAGTAGCAAGGACTGGCGATCCATTAACCATTAGAGTGACTCAGCTGTGCCTGAAAATGCTCAGGGCCGAGCCAGAGGTCCACACAGGGAAAGCTCAGGTTGGGGCAGGAGCCAGGGGAGCTAGGGCTCTGAGGCTTTCTGTCACCTCTGCCTGAAAGCAATGGGCTGGGCAGGGCAGAGTGGCTGGGGTGAGTTCGGTTTGGATGGAGGAAATCTTCTTACAGCTTCTGAGCTGTAGGTGTGACCTCCAACCATCAGATACTGGCCTGGGGGATTTCGGGCTGGGGAGTATGTATCTGACTTGTGGGTGTTGAAGGAAGTGTTTGGAATGCAGGCTTTGGGCTCATTGGGTTGTGCTCTCTTGCTTGTGGGAAAGCTGACTTTTATATCCTTGGATGAGCCAGCCCCAGTAAGCGTGGTTGAGGATAACTCAGGTCTTCAGGATGTGTGACTCTTCTAAGCTACAGAAAAGTTGTGAAGACACCATGATTTAGTACAATTTTGAGGAGTGCTTTGTGTATGGCAAAAAGATCTTGTAATTTCAGGGAATCTCGTTTCTCTTCTCCCTCACATGGACTCTGAACACCAGGAAGGTCTGGGAAATTTCTCATGGTCCTGCCACCTTCCCTTCTGTGTCCTGATTGGTGCCTCGCTAGTTGTGCTTTTATGAATCAGAGATGCCCTCTTCTTACGGCAATGGTCCATTTGATCTTCAATTGTACAGGCTTGCCTCCTTCTGTGAAAATCCTCTCAACAACATACATACACACAAGCAACACACAGACATAAAGACACACCCACATGCACACACACAGAGACAGAAACAGACACACACAGATGCACAAAGCTACATACACACGCATGCATGTGCACACACACAGACACAGACACAGACACAGACACACAGACACACAGACACACACACACACACACACGCTCAGTTGTCCTTAGTGCAGTCATGAGTTTGGCCTGTTTCAGCCGTCAGCCATGAGATTTGAATCCATCATAACCTATAGCACTTTCTTGTTTACAGAGATTTGGATTGTCCTAGTATAATACACCCTCCTTTCCATCAAATCCCACTCCCTACTACTGTCATTTGTCATTAATGCCAGTGCAATTTCCAGAAAATTGTCATTATAGACAGATGTGCAAGTTTGGAAACAGCTGGTGAGCGCTGGCTGAAGTGGTCCTGAGTCACGATGCTGTCGTTGTCAGCCACAGGACCTTTATGAAACGGCCACTTCTTGCACAACTTCTGTGTCTTGGAGACTTCATTGGTGGCATGGCAGTAGTCATGTTTACCTCACAATGTTACCGTGAAGGATTGGTAAGCAGGCTCATCGAGAACACAGAGCAGAAGTGCTCGGCACGTTGTCAGTGCTCACTGAATGGTGTGATTGGAAGTCATTGTGAAGTGGAATTAGACAGAGTGGGACCCGGTAGATGCTCTCAGTAGACAGAGTTATCACAATAATTAATATGATAACTTTTGGATGACTTCAGTATTAGATAATAAATTGATGCAGGATAAGAGTGCCCTTTCTCATTGCAAAACTTGCAGAGGTGAGGATGAGTGAGGTCCATCTCTAAAGTGAAGAGTCACAGCTGAACAGATCTGAGAAGGCTGGACTTCAAGGAGGTTCTGTCACTGCAGGGGAAACTGGTAAATTTTAGAATCCATTTGTCTTATGTTCAACGCCTACCTGTACTTCTGTGTTTAGCATGGGCCATAAAATAGCTCTGGATCTATTTTCTAGTCACCACATGAATCACAATACATTGCACAATTGTTAGAGAATTCAGCAGAAGTTATTTTGCAAAGAGCACATTTTCTTTCCATTTATTTTTTAAACCATGTATACAATCATCTATATCATGTGATAAATAGTTACATATAAATAGTATCACAGATATCTTTTGATAATGAACTTGTTTTTGAGTTGTGCTAAATTCTCTTAAATGAATCAACATTTTAGTCAGTTACTATTTCTGTGACTGTACTTATTCAGCACATTCTTTCCTTAGTGATTGAATGATTGAATAGAACTCTCATTTTCTCTCTCTAAAGTGGGACACCCAGAGCCATGGAGTGGGCCAACCACACGGTGACCGAGTTCATCCTGCTGGGCTTCACAGCAGATCCCAGGATGCAGCAGGTACTGTTTGTGGTGTTCCTGGTGGTCTATGTTTTGACTCTTCTGGGAAATGCCACCCTCATCACGCTGATCTGTAATGATGCCCGGCTCCACACACCCATGTACTTTTTTATTGGAAATCTGTCTTTCCTAGATCTCTGCTTGTCCTGCGTCTACACCCCAAAGATCCTCCAGATCTGCATCTCTGAGGACAAAAGCATCTCCTTTGCAGGCTGCGTGGCCCAGTTCTTCTTCTCCGCTGGGTTGGACTACACTGAGTGCTACCTGCTGGCCGCCATGGCCTACGACCGCTACGTGGCCATTGCAAAGCCCTTGCTCTATGCCCAGGCCATGCCCACGAAGCTGTGCACCTTCTTTGTGGCAGGCTCCTATAGTGCAGGCTTTATTAATGGCTACATCATCACCAAGGACACTTTTACCTTGACGTTCTGCAGTGACAATGTCCTAGATGACTTCTTCTGTGATATCCCACCCCTGGTGAAAGTAGCCTGTGGCAAAAAGAAGAGCTACCAGGCTGTGCTGATGTTCCTCCTGGCTTCCAATGTCATCACACCCCTCGCCCTCATTCTGGCCTCCTACCTCTTCATCATCGCCACCATCTTGAAGATCCGCTCCACCCAGGGCCGCCTCAAGGCCTTCTCCACGTGTTCCTCCCATCTGGTCTCTGTCACCCTGTACTACGGGTCCATACTCTACATCTATGCTCGACCCCGATCTAGCTATTCTTTGGAGAGGGACAAAATCATTTCTACATTTTACACTGTGGTGTTCCCCATGTTGAATCCGGTGATCTACAGCTTCAGGAATAAGGATGTGAAAGAGGCCCTGAATAAACTATTAAGTAGTTTATAGTGTGGCTCTGAGGAATAGGAAATGCAAATTTTAATTTGTTTCAACTGTACATTTCTAGCAGTGCTGCTGTCATCTGACATCATGAACATAGATACCTGTTACATAAATTATGGTGTTTTCACCTGTGACACATGACACCTCAAGGGACATCTTGGAGGGAAAGTAGAGTAGTTTAGAAGAAAAATGCTGGATGTAAGGTATACGCATTTTGATTGACATCTTTGTTACTCTAGATTTAAAACAGAGAATCCTATTTGTTCTCATTCTTTTGACAAATATCTATTCTATCAATCTGACCATTGTTTGATTGATTTACTTGTAGTGTATTTAGTACAGAGGCTACAAGGGTCTCACTCCATACATCGGACTTGTAGTGATCCTCCTGTTTCCAGCCTCCAAGCTCTGGGATTACAGGCGTGTACCTCATCTCCCAGTCTCAGTCACCTCTCTGAGGAAAGAACCCTGCAGCGATGGCTGGGACAGTTGTATCTCTGCACAAAGCCACGGTTCCTACCCAGTGACTCTCATGTTTCTCTCCCCCAGTGCCCAAAGCTGCTCCCACATCTTGTACCTTGAGAGAAGGGCTGGGAACATACTTCCATGTGATTAGGCTTGGGATTTTTACTCAGTTCTTATGAATTCACTGGACAACACACATTACCTTGTAGCAGTCGGCTTCTTTAAGTCTATTTGCCTGAATGAGTTAGGAAGTCACAGAGCACCTGTCAGCTTCATCACTGGCAAAGGTGCCAGGAAGAGTTTGAGGAAATAAACTCTTAAGTGCAATCAGACTGCTGACATATTTAACGAGTAGATTGGACAACCCACAACAAGGCAGAATAGGACATGACTTGGGTAATTGAGCAACAGCAAATCTTCTTAAATAATCATTATTTGCATCATAATAGGGAGTGCTAGCAGAAGGCATTCAGAAATGCATTAGCTGGGATATCAGTGTGTGTATGCAGGTTGTGAGTATCATGCAGTGAGTTGGTTCTGCTGAAGTGTAATCCTAGAGCTCACCACTGAAAAATGCAGCCAGCAGCCATAGTGTTGCCCATCTCCTGTGGTCCTTGAGAAGGGATAGTTTAAAAACAGTCCTGTGGCCCATTTCATGTCATTGTACCCCGAAGAATAGCTTACCTTGGAATGCATAAGTCGAACATCTCTAATTAGAAAGATCATAATCCAGAATGTCCCAAGGCACGAGTCCATTTGAGTGGCAGGATGAGTGCAATGTCTGAGGAAGTGTGAGGGCCTGGATGCAGGGTGGGACATTCGGGCAGAAAAGGGCAAGTGTCAGAATTTTAATCTTCAGATCCTCCTAAGCTTGTTTCCCAAAACAAGTATTTCCATCCTGTTATTTGAAGGAAGGAAGCTTCCTCTGGGTAAACACCTTTCCTCAAAGTGCTTTCCTTTGGGCATTTGCAAACAAAAACATTTGCAAAATTGTACTTCCATTTGCAAACCCCATCTGGTGAGAAACACAACCATGGCCATCCACCCAACAAGAACATGAACACAACTACATTTCCCAAAGCTATAAAACAAAGTAAATTTGTAAACCGAGGTACTGGTGTATTAAGGCCCTCCCAGGTCTTTAAGGAAGCAAGAAAATTATCTAAGTCCTATGTGGGTGCAGCTGTGTTGCTCTCTTTGGTTTGATCATTCCTTACTTTCTATCTCCTTTACCATTAAGCACCCTTAAAGCCGCATCCATACATGTGAGGTAGCGATATTTAGCAATATTTTTGGATACAGGATTTTGTAATGTAGTTCAGGCTGGCCTTGAACTCACTGTGTAGCCCAGTCTGGCCTTGATCTTATGGCGATCCTCCTGCCTCAGCGTCTGAGTACTGGGATGACAGGTTTATGGTACTGGTCCTGGGTGACATTTGGTCTGGTGGTAGTGTAGAGTGAAGGGGCTCAGTATTGAGAAGATGGACATCAGCTTGAGGCCGCCACCTAGTGTAGTCATTAAAAGACTTTGGTCCAGGAGAAAGCTGGGGCCTTGGAGTGTGCAGTGGTGGCATGAAGGACGGGTCCTTTAGAGAGGAATTTCACTGTTAGTCTTGACCTTGGCAAGGAGTCACTACCTCGTATATCATAGTTCTAGCTCTCCCCACACACAGCCATTTCACTAACCACGTTTCCCTTGCCAACACTGAGCATTTCATTTGCTGTTGCTTTTCTGTGGTCTTTAGAAACAGGTCCTTGGCCATGTCATTCCTCAAGGGCTAGAGATGGGAAGCTCCTCAGAGCTACCATTTGGTGTATGGAATGCTCTTCACATAGGATAGCCACCGTTTTTAAAGCTGAAGACCCTCTGCTTTCTATAATAGCGATCATCCGGGTTATAATCACACTACAATCAATCGATCTTTCAGCCTTCTACCTGTTCCCCAGTCATGACATCTCTGGTGGTGACCAACCATGGCACCAGCACACACCACTGCTGACCTGTAATTCATTTCCCTGGAGACCCTTGTGTCTGCAAATTCTTACAATATACAGCCCAACTAATGGGTCACATCCCCCTGTGGATGTGTTGTAAGGCTACTCCTGAGAGCTGTGTCTGGAAACAGGTGTCCCAGTAAACTTGAAGAATTTATAAATGGACCATCCGCAAAGACATGGGCTGAGTCAGGGGATCCTGGAAAGGCAGGCTTCTTCCACATCTAACCACATCTAGGTAGAAAGGAGACCAGGCATGAGCGGTTAACAGGAAAAGGGAGCAAGGAGACCGATTCTGTGGTGAGCACCACTGGACAAAGCATCAGCATTGACATTGATCCAAAATGAAGGTGGCCTTTAATGTCACTCTGGGAGAAGACTGGCTATTAGGGTTCCAACCTTGAAGTCTTCTCTCCCTTCCATCTTCACTCATATTGCTAAAGTTACTTGGTGCACATCTTCCTGGTTCTTCTCTTGGGGCAGAGAACAAGTTGGGAAAGATGGCCGTTGCCCTAGAAGGAATGGAAGTTACCAGGGCCCTCCACCTTGTTTTGACGTTCTGTATCACTTTATTGTTTTTAAAATTTTTTTCTTTTTCTTGTTTAGGGAATGGTCTACAGAACCATTGGACTTGTAGTGGCCCTCCTGTTTGTAGCCTCCCAACTGCTGGGATTACAGGTGCTTGCCACCACTCCTAGTCTCACTCACTGTCTCAGCACAGCAGATCTGGGAATTGAACCCCCAGCCCCTGTGCTTGCTTCCAGGCATTTTAATCTGCCAAGCCATTTGACTGGCCCTCTAAATTTTTTTATTCTGTTTAAAATAAAAACAGAAAAACAAAAATATGAAGTAAAAAATGCCAGAAATTAGCAAATGAGGAGTAATATCTGTGCTTATGTTCTTATCAATAATCTTGTCTTTACACGTTTGTTTTTATAGAAATGCAGACATCCAGCTATACACTATCCTCTTCTTGATGAGGTTAGCTGGGGCTTATCTATTTTATTTAGTCTTTCAAAGAACCAGCTTTTCATTCTTTAATTCTTTGAACTGTTTTCTTTGTCTCAATTGAATTAATTTCTGCCCTAATCTTTATGATTTCTTTCTGTCTTTGGGCTCTGTGTTTGGTTTTCTCTTCCTTTTCTAGAAGTTGGAGGTGCAACATTAGGGTGTTTATTTGTTCCCGTTCTGTTTTCCTAATGTGTGAGTTCACAGCTATAAATTTTCCTCTGAGAACTGCTTTCATCACATCCTATAAATTCTGATAAGTTGGACTTGAATTTTCATTGAATTGTAGATATTGCTGAATTTCTTGTTTAATTTCATCTGTGACCCATTGGTTGCTGAGTAGGATGTTGTTTAATTTCCATGTATTTATGGGGCTTGCTTATTTTGTTGTCTTGTTTATTTCCAGTTTCATTGCACTGTCATCAGATAAGTCCTATGGATAACCCACTACTGTTATGGACTACTGGACTATATTAGAATATTTTCCTGAATTCATGCACCTACAACATTTAAAGGACAGTGGAATACCCTTCTCCAGCAAAAATAAACAAAAAAGAGGATACAAATGAATGACCATTTTGTATCTGTATATTCAAGATAGTTAGAATTGATATATAGCTACATTCTCTTAATTCAGTGAATAAAAAATTTGTTTTAATAGTGTTTATGGACAGGATATCATGCCTGCATCTTATACAATGAATAACCACTAAGACAACTATACACAATGTATTTATTATTGAAACTGTCCTACTAATCGGTTTTGAAACTGTCTCATTATTATTTGTTTCTCAATAAAATTATGTTTTAAAAAAGAAATGCGAGAAAAACCCTATACACTATATTTATTTGTGTTCAGTAAAACACTATAGAATGTAGAGTGCTTTACTGGTGTGTGAGTTTCTAAATCAAGCCTTTCATTTCTTCCTAAACAAATTTGTCCTGACTTCAGCAATGAACAGTTCTGTTAATTGCTTTGTTTACTATTTCCCCAAGGTGCACAATCCTGAGGAATTTTGTGAGTGAAAACCCTTGAGATCAAATAAATATTACAAAAGGGAAGGCCCCTAGCTGATTTGATTCTAGGGATAGCAGAATAAGGTGTTGGTCATTAATCTGGTAAGTTGTGTGGTTCAGATATTATAGAAGTTTTATGTCCATGACGTGTTAAGAGCTGGGTAAGTTTTGCTGTGCACGCGAGCTATGAAGCTGTGTTTGCATGGGGTTTTGTCACTCTGTGGTAGGTTCTGGAAGTCCTGGGAACAAAAGGAAGGTTTAACTTCACCTTCTCCTCATAGTGACAGAACACGATTTATTTTAAGGCAATGGACAGTGTGTCAGTCTCTCCCTGATTGCCAGTTGAAAAGAGCAGCTATGGAGAGCCATTTATTTAGGACATAAGCCTTTGAAATATCTCAAGAGCCCTAGAGCAACTACAGTGACTGAGTGATTATATTCTCATATCCCAAAATAAATCAAGGAACGTTTAAGTGCCTTTAATTTATTTATTTTTTTCCTTAGAAGATAGCAAACAGTTA